TTGTGAAGTCCTTATGGCATCAAAAGCCAACCTATGTAACATGGCAGTTTTTTTTCAGATAAGCACCCTGTACTACATACTTCGTTGTGGTTTGCACAACAGTAAGGGATACATTTAGTCTTTTGACATCTGGCTTTTTACAGACTTTTTGCAATCACACTGAACAGGCGCTCTACAAGTGCCAGCTCTTTGGGTAGAGCTGCTCATGCAGGCTGCCAATCTCCATGCACATGACTCTGGATCTGCTAAAGATGGTATTTGAAAAGGACTGCTGCCAGCATTCACCAAGTAGCTCCACAAGCTAACTATTCTGCGTCAGCGCAATTTGAGCGCGTGGAATATTTTCACAGGGTTGTGTTTTGATGAGCAAATACTAATTTGGTTGCATTAAAAGATATAAAACATCAATAAGGTGAGTGAGAATATATGGAATAAATTGGTTCATCTCTGAAAGAGCAGTAGTGATAACAGGGATTATTAGATTCAGTACTCTGCCTGTACTATGACAGCAAATATGCTTTTTGTACCTACTATTTTTGATCTTCACAGGAGAGGGTTAAAAAAATCACAGGCTGTTATTTCTAGAAGCAACAGAAACAAGCTTTTTGCTGTCTGGTGAATATCAGCAGGTTACTCGCATTAATGAATTGAAGAATTTAAGTTCTCCCGTTTTACAATTCCTGCAGTTTTAGTGAAAACTCTATCAGTATCAACAGTCTGTAAAACAGCATGATTGACTATCTTTCCTTGGTATCTTGTACCTGCAGAAATGACTGACAGTTTCTGAAAAGACAAAGTCACAGTAACACTTTTTCACAAATTGTAACTAAAATCGTCTTATCTAGTGGCTTAGATCACCAGCGTAAAGAATTTGGTAAAAAGTAGAAAGATTTTATCACTGAAACAGAGAAACTACTGCCAGTTATTTGGAACGTTACAGATACCCCAGGCTTGTACAGCACACCCTCAGGAACTGTCATCCACCAACGAAAACAACGTGACGTGATCACACGCTTAACCGCTTGTCAGTGGCAGGGTCAACTTTTGTACAACTGTTGAGTATTGCACTGTTCCTGTGCACCGATATCGTCGCTCCAGGACTCAGTTACTCAATGACAATTTGACAGAGTTCACTTGAAAACAAACTTATTACTATCCAATTTTAGTTCACTGTTTTTGAGAGATACTGATTTTATAAATAGATTTGCTTTTTTCAAAGAACTGTCACAAATGCCTGCAGACCAGCAAAAACAATAGGTACTCTTGAGAGCAAAGCAACACTGTCCTTAAGAAGTGGTTGGGTCAATTGGTCGTTTGGGGAATCAAAAGTCTATGAACCGTTTCTGAAAACGGCCTCAGAAAGTGATCTGCTTCAGTTCACAAGCCTTTTGCTCAGAGAATCACCGTTTTGGATAATATTCGTTTGACATTTTATTCTGATGTGTTTCAGCAGAGATGGCTCGTCCTAATTGCAGTCAAGGTACTGAGTCCTCCATGAACAGGCCTCTTGACTCATCAGCACTAACCAAGGGGCATACATTTACACTCCTTTTCCCCAGAAAGCTAGGATCTACTCACAGTTCTTACTAAAACCAAATTGAGAAGAAACTTTTAAAGAACCATTTATGAAATCTCTCTAGTTTCAGTATGGTGAATTCTGTTCCTAGATAACCACATACTGTTGTTGAAAGCAAGATACACTGCACAGCTGGCTGTATTGACTGCTACCTTGTTTGTATGTTCTTTTCTAGCCAGAATTCCCCTTTTGATAAAAAGCAAGCCAGAAAAGCTCAAGGTCAAAGTTTCCTATGACAGCATGAGATGCACTAGCTCTATTCATTGCTAATTCTATTAGTGGCAGATTTTAATAAGTTTTAAACAGACTCTAGTCTAGAAATCATATAGCTGAGAGAGAAAAAAATTCATATATACTATTAGACTACATCATTTCAAAACGACTGAGGGTTTTAACACAACAAGGGCTTACATCAACTTACATGCTGGGTTTCATGCTTTCATCATAAAACCTAAGATTTTAACCCCATTTTGTCACTAGCTGGAGCAAATAAACAAAATGAGTGTTTGGTGGCAGAGACTATCTTGTTGTTGCAATCAAACTTCTAAACATATATAGGATGTTCACATCTGACCTGAAGGTGGCCAGCCAACACAAAGTGTTCAGTTATCTGGCCAGCTTCAGTAAGAGTGACCTGCCACTCACAAGGAATGAAAAAAGGTAGCCAAGAGGGTTTCTAGGGAAGATAACCCTTTACCTTGACACGTTAAAGACAACAGGCATTCAATGGAGTCAGCCCAAAACAGCTGAGTAACACAGTCAGAAAACATTTTGACGGTTAGTATCGCATTTACTCTGTTCATTTAGATTAACAACAGCATAGGTTGCAAGTATGAGGATACAAAGCTCTGAATACCACTTTCTGATCTGAAAAGAGTGTAGACACTGTCACAGGGGAAAACATGCTCAAAAGGCCCTCAATTTAACCTTCAGAAAGTGAATCACCTAACGACAATATACCAATAGCACAGCATTCAAAAACTGCTTTGAGTTCGTTCACTGAATTCATTTTTTTCTTCCTTACTTTAGGGAATTGTTATCCTGAAAATGAATAGACTAATACAAACTGCTCAGCTTCCATGTCATAGATTGCCTTCAACATTGCACCTCCTGGCAACGGTCCTTAATTTACCTTTGTCTTTCCCTGACAGAGGCAACCACTCTGTGCTAAACATGATCTAACGTTGACTAGTGTTTGTGTGGTGCTTCTCACAAAGTCACAAAAGCTACCCTTGAGAGGTAAAGAAGAAGGAATCAGCAAAACAGACGAGGGTGCTCACAAAGAACGATCCCAAGTAGCCAGAAGGTCAGCACTACATCATGAAAGGTAGCCTTCAAAGGAAAAAAAAGTTTAGAGCTCAAGGAAGTTAGAGGAAAAGAATGTTAACACAGTTCTTACAAAAACCAGCCCCTGTTTATGCATAACCATTAAGTCAATGGAAAATAATGATAACAAATAGTTCAACATGCTCTATCCAATTTCCTTCTTCTCGTACTCTTGCTAATGTGACCCAAATTCTTTCCACTCCAGTTTTGTCTCAGAAAACTAACCAAAAAAAAAAAAAAAATCACAGCTTTCACAGCTTTCCTGGGGTGCGGGTGAGGGAAAAGGGGAAGGAAGAAGCAGAGCTGCTGAAATATTGTAAGAAAGGATGCCAGGAAACAAAAAAGCACTTGCTTCAGAGACACAACAGATTTCCAACTTAAGAAATGTACAGTTCTTGCATCACCACTGCTAGCAAACAGAGGATTAGGATGGCGCTTTAAGAGCTAAAGACTTAATGCATGGCTGACATCATCACAGTTTTTTGAGCTTCCGCCCAGATTTACTTTTCCTTCCATCCCTTCCCCTGACAAGGGTCATATTTAGGACCAGATTTGATCTAACAGATGGGTTTCAATGATCAGGGCAACTATCATCTTTGCTGTTCTAACATCAGAGGGACTTCTGGAATTCTTGGAAAACTGATTTTAACTGTGGATGCCCCAGTTTTGAAGACTGGATCAAATATTGCTTTTGTTAATTTAATTGAAATGAACATGTCAGGGTCACCTTTTTCAAGGGTGTCCCATTTGGAGCCACGCAGTAAGGAGCGGAAATGCCTTTCTAAATCCACTTAATTGCTAAGAACCAAGAGCAACTGACAGCTGGATCAAAAGTGCTCACCAGTTACTCCTATTTGTTCCTTTCTTTTGCCTCCCTTTCTTACAATATATACAGAACAGCAGGCATTCAGCACTTGAAAAGCACATTTTAGAAAAATCAGGGTCAGGAGTTTGATAGTCAAGAAAGAGTAAAACGTTCTCTTTTCTGACGTGATGCTTCCTGGAAACAAGCACAATAGACAGCAAAATCAGCTACAGATGCAGCAAGAAGTATGAGTGCCTATTGTTTATAGGCTTTGTAGCCTTTAAGCTTTACTGTTATAACTACTTCCATAGGACTCTGATACACAAACATGGATCATCAAGAGATTCCTCTCATTTTTTAAATTAGGCTGGCTCCAGACCAAATTAATAGGACTCAAAAGCCTTCCAACGTAGCCTTTTACCTGCTGTGGTCACCTGTCCTGCTTTCAGGGGTTGTTCCACAGAACAAACAACACTAGAAGACCTGTCAGAAGGCAGACACATTGGTAATTTCAACAGAGTGCCAACATCTAACAGCTTAGGAACTCAGCTTTCCTCTTACCTGTGTCAGGATCAAAGCGCACTGACAGGACAGAGGGAACTTCCTCTTATCACTAGTCTGCACTACAGTTATCAGTTGGACAAGGAGAATGAAAGTTTCACAAATATCTTATTCGAGCATAATAGCATGGAGGTGACTGAGTGGGAATCTGCTCCCGAGAGGAATTAGTCGCTGTAAGAGGGGGCAAGCTCTTTGTACTGTAATTGCTCGTCACTGCAACGATAGGGTTAACATCTTGCATGACAGCTGCTCTGTCTTTCTGAAGTCTATGATTATTCTCCCGGAACCAACAAGGTAAGATGTTGATGTTAGAATTATAGACTTTTAGCACGTCCTCCTATCTGTCAGTCATCTTCTCAAACACAGGTGCACTGATTTGCATCGCTTATGATTTGGCTCATTTCTCTTCTATATACCTTCTTTGCATTGTGTTAATGCAAAGAAGAGTTAAGATTCAGGTGTTTTGGTCATGAAGCTCAACTCTGGAAAAGAAGTCATAAGAATCAACATTTTGTAAGGAAGATTTTCAGGTCCCAGAACCAGTACACAACATCTGTAAACCTTTGACTCCATTTTGAATCAGGGACCTTTAATAATGTTCCTCCATCCCCCCATAACAGCAATGTCCGCTACGGCTTTTTTTTTCCCCCCCAGACTCTTACGTTCAGCATTTGCCTTTTCAATCATATAGACTTATTTTACACCTGTGTTAATGCGGAAACCTTTCCTCACCTTTAACGTGGCAGCCAAGCTGGCCATGTGTTCATTCAGAGTGCTCTCCGACTCCTTGTAAGTCAGGCAGGTGAACTGATATTCCTCTGGATCAAAGGCATCTGCTCCCTGCTGCTCCACGTCGTTAGCTACCCCATCATAATAATCCTCAATATCCCCAGGATCCTCATCCTCTTCCTCCTCCTCGCAATTAGGGTCATAATCCTCTTCATTGCTGTCAGAGCCCTGGCTGTTCATGTCCACGGACATCTTAATGCCCTGTCAACTGCAGACCAGGAAAGCAACTGTAGCTTCTTTTTCTCCACCAAACTTTATCGTTCTTTTGATTTCATCTGAGCTCTGTCTCCTAAGGGGGGGAAAAACAATTTTTTCTGTTGCCTAAGAAATTGTAAGAGAGGCCATGTCAACATCATACAGGTGATCTAACAGCCAGGAATGGACTGACCCGATGGCCCAGCTAAAGAAAATCCTGCCAGGCAGGGCCCTGGTTTGGATCTGCTGTGACTTTTGCACCTGCAAAGCCACTGCTGCTCTTACAGGAGAGGTGTAAAACCTCAGGAACGTGCTTATTACATTATCCTAGCCCCCAGTAAGGGCTTCACGTTTTCTGTCCTTTGGGAAAATGTTCCCATAATCTCACTACACGTCTTTTCAGAGATAAATATAGACTTATGATGTTAAGTTCTTTTATCAAAAGCATCATCTGCATTTCATCAATGAAAAACAAGAACGCTTATCTAACATCACCAGGAGCCAGAAAGGCAACCTGTGATACCCTGTACAACTCCACACTGCTTCAGAACCACAGAAATTAACTGGGACTTCGGAAAGCAAGAGGAGCAACAGATCCTTCTCTTACATCCAGTTTGACAATCTTCAGTACCATCTCAAAGAAATGGCAGTTAGTTCATCCCTTTAACTAGGTTCTGCTGGACGTGATGTGGCTTGTGCATTGTATTTGAGGGGGAAAAATAAACTAACTTCTCATTTTATTACGTTCTGAATGTACATTTATTACCTTTGGAACGTATAAATTTATGCTCAAGGTTTGACAGCTGCTGCTTAGGAGGAATCAGAACAGCCAAGTTATTTTTCTTATTTTCACTGGTGCTAGAAAATTCATGTATTTGACTACTTATCTGAACTACGCACCTTCTGCTCACGTAATTAAAATAACAAAAAAAAAGTTTTAAGAGTGTCAGCAGACACAGTACATGTCAACCTTGAGTTATGGTCATCTTGTACTCAGCCACAAATTGCCATTTAACCAATTAATTTTGTTTCAAGAGAGACTGCATACAAAAGAGTTAAAACACCACGCTGCAATCAAGATTGACGTATAACATATATACATAAAAATCAAAGCTATATTTCCCACAGGCAGCATATATTGGGTTTCTTGCACATATGTAGCTTTTTGCTTACTGTTTACGCTAGCTCCAGCACTTCAACACACATGCACAATGTCACAATTTGCAGCTGCTCAAGAAACCATAATCTGACCTCAGAGCACAGGAAATCTCAATCATAATTTTTCATAATTTTTCTTGAACTTATTTGTTTTCTGGTTCTAATAAACAGACCAGACATCACAAGTCAACCAGGAAGAGGTTTGATGCATAATTAATCTGAGGGGCTGCACTAGTTTCAGCAGATATAAACCTCCTCCAGTGAGGAAGGTTAGAAGTTAATTATATTATCCCTTGAACGTTGGTCTCCATTCCTTTCACGGGACTCTTGATTTCTTAACTATCCACAACGTACATGACATACAAATATTTTATAGCAGGGCTTCTTGCAGAACTTTAGAGGATCAGAGCTCTGACTCTCCACTTTGAAAGATGACAGAAGTGAAATCTTGAAGAGTATCTTCTTACTAGTGACAGAAAATGAGTTACAGTAGCAATGCTAGTAACGTAGATGACTCCATCAAACTGCCGAGGGAAGTTGTTTTTTCCTTCAGATTAAAAAGCCATCAGGTCCGAGTAACCTGCTTATACTGCTGAGGAATCACTCATACAACTGCTGCTAAATGAGGGTCTCCCTCCATCACACAAACCCATTCACAGACAGAAAAAATTCTGAGGTTTCCACAAATGGAAACATTCAAATACAGGGGGGGGGGGAGATGGTAAACGTGCTCCTACAAATACACATTTGGAAAAGATGGTGGTTCTGAACGAAAAGGTTAATGTACTTTTCTGGCTTTGTTTCCACTCAGGGCTCTGCAAACGAAGATCTCTGTTCTGCGTTTCAGGATCATTGGTGGGCTCTGATTTGATAGACACAAGGCAAACCTATACTGTCCCTATATGCTCCCTCCCTCTAGTCTCCTTAATGATTCAGCCTGGGCTTAATCTGTATCAACACTGACTTCTTGCACAAAAGTAGTAATGGGACTTTACCTGTTATATTTTATGTTAAAGGAATAACTCACTTGAGAATCTAGAAGCAGTCTGAACATTCCCACAGAAGATATGAATAGCCTAGCGTGCAATAGTTTTGTTTGGCCAATCTCAGGGCATCATAAAGCCCAAACAGGTATCACCAGTTAGGAAAGTTCTCAAACTCAATCGGATCATCCCACACTATGGGGATAGGAAAAAAAATGGTTAATGGATGATCCATTTACTACCTCAACATATAGCGAGTCCCATCAAAGCAATGAGATGTTTCCAGACATATGAGTAGAATAAGGGGCTTACACAGTACCTAAGTAGTCACACGCCAGTCATTGGAGAAGAGAGGCACAAGACTGCAGGGCTCTTAGAAGTATTTTTCAGCCATTTCTCTGGGCAACTAACTTATTTACATGAACAAATAGAGGAATTGTTTGCATGGGCAAATCAGATATACCAAGGAGAAAATAGTCTGCAGACTGCATGTCTTTTGTGACTCCTGCAGTGACACTTTGGAAAAGAGTCCATTTCCACCATAACTTAATGTCAGATGGACATGTGTGAATAAGAGGGGAAGATGAAGGCACAAACTTGCTGGCAAAACAAAGCAAGATATGAAAAAAAAAAAAAAAGAAACGAAATAGACTTTACCTCACCTAATTCTCAGCCTAAGGCCCTCATCACCAAATCACGATCTGAGTACACACTAACAAAGGACACAGCTAATACTAATTTCTAAGACAATAAAGAAGATTAAAAAAAGAAGGTCAAAAGAATAAAGATTACTTAAATAATTATCATAATCCCAAAGATTTGACTTAAAAATTTTAAACCATATTTAGATTGCTTTCCTGCTTAGGGAAGAATGAGGTCCTACTTTACCACCTGCATCCAAGACACTCCCTCATCTTCACTAAAACTAACATAATTTAATCCCCCTTCTTCCTCCAGCCTCCTTGCAGGAGCTTGTAAACATGTCCACCCTCCTCTCTGCCCCCTTCCAGCTCCATCAGAAACGCCCTCTTGCTGATTCCTGCTTTACAATCTAATTCTTAACAAGGCCCCTTGAAAAAAAAGGCCTTCAAATATGAGATCATCAGTTTCCCTCTTCTATGTTAGATAGAGGAAATTAGACAACCCCACATTGTATCTCATCTCACTATGCCATCCTTTTCTGATTTCTTATCCTCTGTATCTGCCTCTCTGGGGCTTCCTGAATAAGTGTTTTGGAGAACACTCCTCTCCCCCCGCTTCTGCTTTTTCAGTTGATAATTCCACAGCCATGTGAGATGGCTTTGTCCCCCCTCACCTCTCTGCTGATAATTTTGAAACTGAGAATGTAACTCAAGTCTGCCTCCCAAGATGAAACCAGCCATTTTCCTTTCACTTTCCTCTGAAGTCCTTTACAACCCCAGCTCCAAATTTACTATCATTGTTAATCGCATCTTTGTCTATGTCACTTGAGCCCGTAATCCAAGATGAAGGGATCATCTTCAGTAGCTTCTTCACACACACACAGCATATTTTGCCATTTCCTTCTCCACTGAGTTTTCAGATGTTTTTTCATTTCAAGAGAGAGAACCAGGAACATCACCTCCCACCCTTTTAATCACAGATGACTCTGCAGAGACCTCCTTGCTGCCATATCACACATCCATTGTGAATTTGCCTGCTCTCCTTCCCCTTTTCAGTCCGTATTCTCACTACCACGACTACCTTGCCCTTCCCAACCAATCTGAGCCGTTTCACTCCTGTCCCTTCTAATCTCCCATCGTTTTTCAGCACATCATTTTAGCCGTACCAACTCAAGCCTTCCTTCGACGGTAACTCTGTGCTCGGAGTGCCCTCCCTACGTCGGAGGGGGAAGACACCACGTTCACTTAAATCACCTCGAATGCAACCCGTGCAAGGCTAAATCACGCACTTGCCCCGCACATTGAGAACACAACAGGAGGGAAAGGAAGAAGCCGAGGGAGAGAAGAGAGCCGGGCGGGGGGGGACGGGGACCAGGAGCCCCAGCACGGGGCCAG